ATTAAATTATAATTAATTAAATTTTTCCAAAAGCAAGTGTCCCATACTGTATATTTGATTTTAATTAATTTTTTATTTATTAAATTATTAATTAAAATATAATCATAAAAAATTGTCTTTTTTTTGCACCATACTGTATATGAGATAATTTCTATAAATAAAAATTATTTTTAAATTTTTTAACTAAATAAGTCAAATATTATTATTTTGATTTAATATTCAAACCCATTTCTGTTATATATAAATCTTTATATTTGTCACTATTTTAAGGAATTGAAGTTATTTATAAAGCAATTTTGTCATAGAACGCATAATCTCAATAATACATTGTTATTGTATTACTTGCTTACAGATTTTAAAATCCTAGAAGAAAAAAATATTAAAACAAATAAAGCCTAAAAATAAAAAATAAACTTTATAAGAACAAATTTTGATCTATTTAAAAGAGTCTGATTTTATTAATTCGTTGGATAAAATGTAAGTCATGTTCTGAATGGGTCGAGTCAACCCAAAATTTACATTTATTTACAAGGGTGATAAATTTTTCTTCGCCTTTGTTATATCCAAAAAAATGATAAATATATTGAGAATACGTATGTCTATAATGGTGGTGGAGAATCCCAAATTGGTGAGTATCTTGCTAATGATCGCAAAATTTCTTGATAATTTTTCTCCTATAGTGAGCGCTCTCAAAGCAATGCTGCAAGGCGATTTCAAGACAGTATCAAAAATCTTTAAATGACGGGTTACCCTGTTAATACCAGAAAGATTTATGTTGATATTAAATTTATTTGACTTTGATCTGATGACTTGTATGAATTGGTGATTAAATTATAATGGTTTAAATGATTCTGTATGCTTCTTTTTCATAAAGCTTCATTAATAAATTTTGTCGAGATTTTTTTGTTTTGTATAATTTTGCCAAGTTCATTTTGTGCTTGGTAGTTAAAATCAATAGATTTGAAAGTCCGATCACGGTGCACCTTATTGGTATAAGAAAGTGCTTTTTTTCAAAAAAGATCATGTCTCAAGGATCCATCGTTGTTCTCGGATCTTAATTCATAAAGAATCCTGAGGGTCACATCAATCAGGCATACCACGGTTGAAAATAGTAAGATTGTTTAAACTTCTTGTCCATATATAATGGATCAAACTTGATGAGCTTATTCCAGGGATACATCTGAAACAGTAGTTGTCTATCGTCTGACGATAAGATATTGCCCTTGTAGATACTTGTAGGTAGTTTTCGTTTTCGTGAAGTGGCAACCAAGCAGTGTTAAAGTCTTCGAGGAACTCGTCAAAATGACCATCTGAAGATATACAGTAAGTTGATTGTTTGCTGTATCATTTTGGGAAGAAACATGGTTGGGTGAATTATTGTGTTCTGCATCGGACATATTTAGAAGGAATGTGATTTTCCGTGTGGAGAAAAAATTTGCCTGTTAAATGCGATAGAATAGAATAGACATTTATTAGAAAGAACACGATAAAATGACTCAATAATGATATAATGTTAAGATACTTTGACAAACCCTTATAAATCAGCAGGTGATCTTTGCAAACTAGAGAAAGAAATTGATAAGTTTAAAGGTATGTTTGACATTATGCAAACAAATGCTGTATGGTTCCTTTACTTCTTGAATAAATTGTTGCGAGGCAAATAATTTCGAGAAAACCTGATCATCCAACTCCTTCAATTTTGGTTTTATCATTATATGAATACTGCTCTTCGTCCTCCTGTTTAAGCACACTATATCCCAAAATAATAACATAATCAAGAATTTGATCGGGAAGTGATCTTCATATAAAAGATTACTTTGCTCTTCAAATTTTTTAGCTTCTAGATCAGCCACAGTGACATCCTCTTTCGCAAATGGTAAGGGTTGCATGTGGCAAATATTCAGATATGATGAATCGATTTCTCACAATATATTCGATGGACTATTGGGTTCGCTAGGAGATCAGTGTTATTGCATGTGTTTATTTCACCAAAGAATATACAGGTTACCCCTTAAAGCATTTTTCTGGACTTCGGCTGTGCGAAATGTCACTCTCCTTGATACCCGAATAAAGATTGAGGGCAAAAAACTGAACCTCGATCACATGAGCCAGAAATCCGATCAGACCTGTCAAAATCTGAATTGAGTTGGTAATGTTTTCTAAAATTAGACATAGTAATGTATAATCATCATTACCTTTCTTCATACAGCCTCCCCACAAAATCAATACCATCTTCAATATCTTAGAAATCTTATAATATCCATTTAGTAGCTTGTACTTTTTGTTAGACTGTAAATGTCCGCTTTGTATAAACATTAGCGATTCGGGATCAATTATAGCTTTAGGTATTGCTGTCATTATTGGAGAAAAAGTAGCTTTGGCAGAAGCAGAAATTAAACCATGTGCTGGTACAGGTTCATTTTATATTTTCATTGTGTCCTCAGCCGCACTTTCCAGACGGCAACTTCACCGCAACGAATTCTCTCTCCAAGTTCTTTAAGAATCCAATCTAATCCTTGCTCACAAATTTCGCGTTCAATACTCTGTCGCTTAGCATTGTCTGTCCCAGTTTTGGCAAGTTTCGTACACCATAAAATCAATTCCTATTTCTTGTCAATATATATTGACCAGATCATTATCAAAAAAATTCGCAGTCGCGGGTATTTCATTCTAATTCAGGTATTTGCCGTCTTTTCTTGTGCGGTGCGTGGATCTGAATAGTTATTTGATATTATACGCTGAATCCAGAAGGCATCAATATCATGTGGAGGTATTTTTGTAAAGCCTTTACACCAGTGACCTTTGATTTTATTGGCAGTATCTGGTCCATTAGCTGTTCGGAATCATTCTTTTCTTCACCTGAATGACTCTCTATATTCATCCTCAACTTGACCAATGCTTAATACATTTGTTGTCGATGCCTCCACACCACCTTCATCATCATCTTCCTCCTTGGACTCAACTTCGTATTTTCCAAATTTATCTTATTCCTCTTCATCAAATATTACGGCAACTCTCAAGTTTATCATCAATCTCGCCTGAAAGTTCACCGTCATTCATGGTATCCTCAGAATGATAATCTATTATTTTTTCCCCAAAATTCACTAGCTGCGCAAATCAATCTGGTGCAATGGTGCTAATGACCGTTTCAATATCTCTTTTCTTGTCAAAATCCTTGAGTAAATTATTTTAAAAAATTTGCAGAATGACTTCAAATTGTATCTTGAGCTTGATCACCGAGGTTTTGATTAACGAATGCTAATGTCAATTCGTATATATCTCGAGTCTCTTGTCCATGGTCTGTAAGATAACCTATCAAAATATTCAGTAGCTGCCAGTACATAGAATATCCATATGCTTGCTTTGAATGCACTAGAGAAAAATTTTATTTAATAAAAAAATCAAGGGAAAACAATTCGAAAGAAAAAAAGGGTAATATAAGACGAACGTCTATTCTTTTCCTTGTCTCTTCTCCGCTTCTGTAGCCTCCTGTACTTTTTTCTTTTTTGCTTGTAAATCTTTTGCGATGTCCCTTTGTACTCTGGTACCAAAATATTTTGGGTTGATTTTTCCCATAACGATTCTGGTACACCAGAAGGCTCGATCTCGACGCAGTAATTCTTGTTGATTTGCTTGTAGGTAGGACAGTATTAGAGTTAGCGGTGTATAAGTTAGTACCAATATAAATGAGAAAGATTATTGTATTCTTACAATTATTAAATAGATTTCAAACTTTAAATAATAAACTTATCGCGTTGATTGATTAATAGAAAAATCGGAGCTTTTGTTTTCTAGCAGAAATAATATGATTGAAGGTTAGCAAATATTCAGAACTAGTAAGATCAAAGTCGCCTCAAGAGATCGGGCTAAATCTGACCCGAACGAACTTCGGGCTGGGTTTGGGTCGAGTTTGTTATTTTCGTTATTTCCTTTATTTCTTTTATCTGTGTGTCAATGTTGATAAAATGAAAGAGAATAGAATTCAAACTGATAAAAATATCATCATACTTATCTAATTTACCTTTCCTAATAGATTCTCCAAATCCCACAAACTTGCTAACCCTTTCCCCTTGTAAACTTATTTGAACCCTGCCCGAAAGTACCGTGAGGTCAAAGATTGCGCCGTGATCATATCGCCAACTCTAACCCACAATAATAGATCAATTCTTTGAGTAATTGATCGTCCAGAAAGGTAAGAGTGCGCCTTCCAATAAAAGACGTACAGTATGGATCACATTTATTAAATATTTCTTGAAGAATCACCCTAAACAAACTCAGATATCATAAAGGTTAAATTTCATAAATGCTTTTGATAGAGCTTACCCGATAATCTGCGGTCCAAAACTAATCCTACCAGATTTTTTTGTATTATGCTTAAGTCACATTAAGTGAAACAAAAACTTACACCGAATGGGCGAAATTTTACGTCCGAAGTAATTGATGATTATTAAACTCACGCAGTTCGCATTCTGTTACCAGATTTCGATGATTAACCGATAAGAGACGCGAAACTTAGTTAATATCCGTTGAGTGCGAAAAAAAATAAAATGTGTTAGCAATGTGTATACAAACGCATTTAAATATCACGTCCTAGTAAACATCAGCATAATAAGCTTGGGTTCTTAATATAGCGACGAGATATTTCGATTTATGACAGAAACAGATTTGAAGAGTTCAGTCAAATTTTTAACTTATTTACTTAACCGATTTAAATATAATTTTTATTTACAGAAATTATCTCGTATATTTCGCGCAAATTACATATATAAAAATAATACATTAAGTTATTTCGCGTAAAACTCGTCTCTAGTATTTTTAATTAAATATCTACATATGTACACTGAAACAAACATTAATACATTTCTTATAAAGATTTAATAAACAAAACCGTCTTGAAGTTCTAACTCATATTGCGTCCGAAGCTTATTTATATATTCCTCATGTTATACACGAAAATATAGAAAACAACAGATACGTTTCGAGAAAACTTTTCCGTTCGTCATATTACCTAAGTAGTATCAAGTATTTTCGTTAGATAATGTTATCTAGTATGCTACAGGGAATAGTGAAGTAGGAGTTGTGAACTACACTAATAAAACCCGACCCTCCTATTTGGTCCGGGGGTATTAGCATATTAGCGAACACTAATAATAAAAGTGAAAAACAAGACAATAAAGGATAGTGGGTTGACTTTAGAACTGCAAACATACCTGCGAAGAAGTATCGTGTAAGCACGAAAGGTTTTTCCGCTAAAATAATAGACTGTATAAGATCTCGAAGGTCGGGATATATGTAAGAAGGAAACGTGTTTGGGAAAAAACGATTTTTTTGTTTTGTTTATCCTTTTATCTTGTTGATCTTGTGACATATTACTGTACTGTAATTAGTGCCAACTGATCAACATGATAATGATATTATCAATAATTTCAAAAATAAAATAAACATATTAATTTATAAATTATATTATAAATTATATAAACAAAATAAAAATATCTATATATGATCAATAATTTATGTTAATAAAAATTAATTATCATATAATTAAATATAGGAATTTTTGAGACTTTGAAATTATAAAAAATTATAAAAAAAAAAGAATAGATATAAAATAATTTAAAATAATTTAAACTATAGTTAATTTAAATTATTTGTTTGATTATATATATATATAATACTAAATTTAAATATTTTTAACAATATAAAATCAATAATTTATTTAATATAACTTGTTTTATTATTATAAAATATAATAATTTTAATCTAAACTTATTTAAAAAATTATAATTTTTCAATTGTAATTTGAAATTATATATATAATTAATAAAAACTTTATATAACAATATAAATTATTTAATAATTAAATTAGATTGGATTTGTAAACAATTATAATTCTAATATTATTGTATTTTTTTTTTAAATTGCTAAAGCAAGACAATACTCTAGTTTTATTAATATAGATAGTTTATTACATATGTGATATATCTAAATTTTTATACTATTAATCTTATATTAACTAGAACCTACTTACAAGCCTAAACTATTTAAATATACTTACTTAATCAGGTATTACCTTTATTTATTTCTTTGTTTGATACTATTTTTATTTCTAATTATAATTTTTTTCTTTTTGAATTATCCAAGAATAGCCAAGAACTTTCTATAACTTTCTGAAATAAGTAACTTACAAGATAATATATTATTGAATTGGAATAAAGTTTTTTATAGAAGAGATATTTTGATACTCATAGAAAACAATCATCAATTCTTTTCTTCCTTATTGAAATTGATATTTTTACACTTCTTGTTGTTTCTGATGATTATCATATCTCTAATTGAATAACTGTTGCACCACAATCTCTTTTTGAATAGTTACAATCCCATTGCCTGTAGGGTATAT